ACCCACTGTCAGAGTGGTTGTGCATGAGTCCAGCCCAGGTTTTCCATAGAGTTCTGGCTCACTGCCTAACGAGGTCATTAGCCTCACCTGTAGCGGCTGTGAGCAGCTATATAACTGCAGTTAAAGCAGGGTGAAGTGAGGGAAGTGTTTTGAGGAGAAAGAAGGTGTTGCTATTTATTGTATCCTGTTACTTCATAACAACAGAAAATAAACAGGCCAGAGGCCTTTTTGAAACTGGACTTTGTCTTCACCTGGTTTTCTTACCATAGAGGGCTGTGCGGTTGCCAAAAGATCCTGGACAAACACACACAGGAAAGTAAGTTTGTCACATATGGTGGAGAATGCGGGCACTGCACTAAAGAAGCCTGTGGGTATTAACTGGAAGCCAAACAAGCCTGGAGAAATATGGAGGAAGTTGTGAAAGTTTTGTTGCAAACTACAGCGGCATAGCAAAAGGCTACATCCGTACAGCAGGAGGCCACAGCCGCACAACAGGAAAATATCACAGCCCTACAGCAACTGGTAATTACGCAAAAGGCCAACACAGATGCTTTGATCCAGCAGGTTATGGCAGCCCAAGCTGAGGCAAACCGCCTGCTCAGAGAGGAGCAACATCAGGCCACCAGTATGATACAGAAGGAGATACAGGCTTTGACCAAGTGACTGACCAGAGTCTTGGATGGGACGCAGTCCGAGGTTAAAATGATCAGAGCCAGCCGTTACCTGCAGAAGATGACACCTACAGATGATGTGGAAGCATACCTGCTAGCTTTTGAGAGGACAGCTGAGAGAGAAGAGTGGCCGGTGAGTGGCCGGTGAGTGAGTGGGCAAGCATACTGGCGTCTTTTCTTATTGGAGAACCCCAGAAGGCTTTCTATGACCTGGAACCAGCACAGGCAGGGGTCAACTCCAAACTGAAGGCTGAGATCCTTGCACGACTTGGTGTGACTATGGCAGTTCGTGCCCAAAGATTTCATGCCTGGACTTTCAACTAAGAGAAACCTATCCACTCCCAGATGTTTGACCTGATACATCTTGCTAGAGAGTGGTTACACCAGAAATAAATAAGATTTTTCAAGGTTTCAGAGACACAGAGGAACAAGAGACATATTCTCAGAGACCCCATATGCATTTGCCTAGAAATGTTAATCCTGGAAAAGGGTCTAGGTGGGGGACAGTTGATAATATTAAATGCTTCCGGTGTAATGAACCTGGACATAAAGCTAGAGACTGTCCCTTGATTGATGAACCTATGCAATGCAATATGATTAATCAGGATGTACAATTGTCTTGTTTGCTGAATTGTATGGAATCTGCTATTGCCAACTGTAGTCACAATCCACAGATATGTTCCATAAGGGTGAATGGGAAAGAGGTTAGAGCTCTATTAGACTCTGGAAGTATGGCGACATTGATAACAAAATGCCTTGTACCTGAAGCCGATGTTGATGCATTGCAGAAAATTGGTATAATTTGTGTTCATGGTGACAAACGTGAATATTCTACAGTTTTGCTAAAATTTGAAAGCCTTTTTGGTACTGTTAATCATAGAGTGGGGGTAGTGGATAAATTGGCTTATGATGTGGTGTTGGGAAGGGATTTCCCCCAATTTTTAGACTTGTGAGGGTCTCCAGGAAAAGTAGCTCATGATTGTATAGCAAATGATGGTAATTCTGGAAATGTGTTCCCTTTTTCTGACATAGAATGGGAAGAACTAGGCATAAGACCAGAGAAGGCTGAAGCCTCAAGTCACAGGCCAGCTTTAGTAGGAGATGACCATGGCCACGATAATCAGGAGTCCGATAACGATCAGGATCAAGACATTAACTTCCCTGAATTAGAAGTCAGTCCTGTTAACTTCAGGAAAGCGCAATGGGAAGACCCCACTCTTGCAGAGGCCCGTAAAAATATCCAGGTTTCAACTGATGATCCAGTACAACTAGATAGAGCCCCTTCTTTTCCTTACTTTGAGGTACAGAATGATTTGATATATAGCGTAGAGAAAAAGGGGATGGATGTTGTAAAACAACTACTTGTTCCTAAGCCCTTCAGACATACCGTCCTAAATCTTGCACACAGCCATATACTGGGGGGACATTTAGGCATAGAAAAGAAAAAATAAAGAGTCTTAAAGAGGTTTTATTGGCCTGGGGTATTTGCTTCAGTTGCAAATTATTGTTCTTCTTGTCCTGAACGCCAACACACCGCCCCTTTTAAGGCATACCGCAGTCCTCTGGTACCATTGCCTATAATAGAAATATATTTTGAAAGGATTGCAATAGACTTGGTAGGTCCTCTGGTAAAGTCTGCAAGGGGGCATCAGTATATATTGGTAATTCTGGATTATGCTACCAAGTTCCCAGGAAGCAGTACCCCTACGTAACACGTCTGCAAAGACAATAGCGAGAGAACTCATGCTCATGTTTAGCCGGGTGGGCATACCAAAAGAAATTTTGACAGATCAGGGTACACCATTTATGTCTAAAGTTACAAAGGAGTTATGCAAACTACTTCAAATTAAACATCTTAGGACCTCTGTTTATCATCCCCAGACAGACGGACTGGTAGAACGGTTTAACAAGACCTTAAAAAGTATGTTACGGAAAGTAATTGACAACGATGGTAAGAATTGGGACTGCTTACTACCCTATCTAATGTTCTCCATAAGGGAGGTGCCACAAGCTTCTATGGGCTTCTCTCCTTTTGAGCTTCTATATGCCCATCATCCCAGAGGTCTGCTAGATATAGCAGAAGAAACGTGGGAACAGGAGTCCAATCCATACCGTAGTGTAATTGAACACATATCTCAAATGCAAGATAGGATGGTGGCTGTCATGCCAATAGTTAAAGAACATATGCAGAAAGCCCAAGAGGCCCACAAAAACAGTTATAATAAAAATGCCAGACTGAGAGTTTTTCACCCAGGAGACAGGGTACTTGTTTTGGTCCCTACAGTAGAAAATAAATTTCTAGCATCTTGGCATATAGTTACATAGTTACATAGCTGAAAAGAGACTTGCGTCCATCAAGTTCAGCCTACCTCACATTTGTTTTTTGCTGTTGATCCAAAAGAAGGCAAAAAAAACCAGTTTGAAGCACAATTTTGCAACAAGCTAGGAAAAAATTCCTTCTTGACCCCAGAATGGCAGTCAGATTTATCCTTGGATCAAGCAGTTATTACCTTACATTGAAAGATTATATCCTTGAATATTCTGTTCTTGCAAGTATGCATCTAGTAGCCGTTTGAACATCTGTATGGACTCTGATAAAACCACTTCCTCAGGCAGAGAATTCCACATCCTGATTGTTCTTACAGTAAAAAAACCTTTCCTTTGCCTTAGACGAAATCTTCTTTCTTCCAGTCTAAACTCATGGCCTCGTGTCCTATGTAAAGTCCGGTTTGTGAATAGATTTCCACACAATGGTTTGTATTGGCCCCGAATATATTTGTATAATGTTATCATATCCCCTCTCAGGCGACGTTTTTCTAAACTAAATAGGTTTAAATTTGTTAACCTTTCTTCATAGCCGATATGTTCCATTCCTTTTATTAATTTTGTAGCCCGCCTCTGCACTTTTTCTAGTGCCATAATATCCTTCTTTAGAACAGGTGCCCAAAATTGCACAGCATATTCAATATGGGGTCTTACCAGTGATTTATAAAGAGGCAAAATTATATTCTTGTCCCGAGAATGAATGCCCTTTTTCATGCATGACAATACCTTACTGGCCTTGGCCACTGCTGATTGACATTGCACATTGTTGCATAGTTTGTTGTCTATAACAATTCCCAAGTCCTTTTCATGTGTTGTTATCCCTAATTCGCTTCTATTAAGGGTATACGTTGCTTGTGTATTCTTTACGCCGAAGTGCATAACTTTGCATTTTTCAACATTAAATATCATTTGCCATTTGAGTGCCCAGTCCCCCAGTCTATCTAAATCCCTCTGCAGCAAAGTAATATCTTGCTCACATTGTATTGTTTTACAAAGTTTGGTGTCATATGCAAACACTGAAACATGACTTTCAATGCGGTCTTCAAGATCATTTATAAAAATGTTAAATAAAAGGGGTCCCAGCACAGACCCCTGAGGGACACCACTTGCCACCTCTGTCCAGCTTGAAAATTTACCATTAATGACAACTCTTTGTACTCTGTTTTTAAGCCAATGTTCTACCCAAGAACAAGCATTTTCATCTAGACCGATTTCCTTGAGTTTGAACACTAATCTATTGTGTGGAACTGTATCAAATGCCTTGGCAAAATCCAAAAAGATCACATCCACGGCAACACCCTGATCTATACTTCTACTTACTTCTTCGTAGAACGCAATCAAGTTAGTTTGACATGACCTGTGCTTCATAAAACCATGCAGATTTTTGCTGATAACCATGTTCTTCTCAAGGAATTCTTGAATATTATCCCTTAATAACCTTTCAAATATTTTACCAGCCACAGAAGTTAAGCTCACAGGTCTATAATTTCCAGGCAAGGATTTTGAACCCTTTTTGAATATAGGAACCACATCTGCCTTCCTCCAATCCTCCGGAACACTTCCTGAAAGAAAAGAATCTTGAAAGATTAAAAACAGAGGTTCACTTATTTCTGCATTTAGTTCCTTAAGTACACGTGGATGGATACCGTCAGGCCCTGGAGCTTTGTTTATATTAACTTTCTTTAGTTGCTGCGGCACCTTGTCTTGAGTTAACCAATTACAATTATTCTGCAAGTTTTTAGTAGCAATCATTTGCACATCTATTGCCATGGGTTCTTCCTTAATATATACGGAGGAGAAAAAGTTATTGAACAGGTTGGGGAAGTTAATTATAAAGTGAGACAACCCAATAGGAGAAAACCCGAGCAAATATATCATATAAATTTACTAAAACCCTGGAAGGACAGAGAGGTCTTAACTACTTCAATTGTCACTAATAAGACTGGTAGTGAACTTGAAGTAAATATACCAGACACCCTGTCCCCCCACCAGAAACAGGAAGTAAGGGACTTTATTGGTAGAAACCGGGATGTATTTTCTGTAGTTCCGGGCAGGACTAACGTTATCAAGCATGATATTGTTACAGAACCAGGGGTGAAGAAAAGCCTTAAACCTTACAGAATCCCAGAAGCACAGAAAGAGGCGGTAGCTGCAGAAATTAAGAAAATGTTAGCTCTTGATATTATTGAGGAATCACAAAGCGAGTGGAACAGCCCTATAGTACTGGTGCCAAAACCTGATGGCTCGTTAAGATTTTGTAATGATTTTCGTAAATTAAATAGTGTGTCAAAGTTTGATGCTTATCTAATGCCTAGGGTTGATGAACTGATAGAGGGACTGGGTAAGGCTCGGTACCTGACTACTTTAGACCTGACGAAGGGTTACTGGCAAGTACCTCTTACAGACAGAGCAAAAGAAAAGACAGCTTTTTCGACATCGGGGGATTATTCCAATACAAGGTGCTACCATTTGGGTTACATGGGGCCCGTGCCACTTTTCAAAGACTGATTGATAGGATTTTGAAGCCTCACAGCCGTTATGCGGCCGCATTCTTAGATGACATAGTCATTCACAGTTCCGACTGGGCTTCACATCTTCCCAAAGTGCAGGCGGTACTGGACTCTATCCGTCTAGCTGGTTTAACTGCTAACCCATCTAAGTGTACTATAGGTTTGGAAGAGGCAAAATATCTGGGTTATTCGATTGGGAGAGGACTAGTTAAGCCTCAAACAGCAAAAGTGGAGGCCATACAAAGACGGCCACGCCCCCTCACTAAAAAGCAAGTCAGGACTTTCTTAGGACTTATTGGGTATTACAGGTGATTTATTCCTGGTTTTGCTACATTAGCAGCTCCTTTAACGGATCTCACAAAAGGAAAAGCCCCACTAGAAAAATCGTTTTTTAACTTTGAAAGAGGCTTTGTGCACCCAACCGGTTCTGGTAACCCCGGATTTCACTAAAGAGTTTATTGTCCAAACCGATGCATCAGAAATTGGGTTAGGGGCGGTTCTGTCTCAGGAAATGCAGGGTGAAGAACACCCAGTGTTTTATTTAAGTAGGAAGCTGACTCCCACTGAGAAAAATTATTCTATAGTGGAAAAAGAATGCCTTGCCATAAAATGGGCCTTAGACTCATTAAAATATTATTATCTGGGTAGAAAATTTAGGTTGGTCACAGACCATGCCCCCTTATCCTGGATGAGTCAAAACAAAGATAATAATGCCAGGGTGACAAGGTGGTTCCTCAGTTTACAACCATTTAATTTTACAGTTGAACATAGGCCGGGTTCTAAACATGGAAATGCTGACAGTTTGTCGCGAGAAAATTTTTTTCTGTGGTCGCTCACCCCACTAGGTCTGAGCTGGGGGGGAGGATATGTAACAGAGTGTTGGGGATGGTGGTCAGGGGTGTATATCTGGCACCCAGACTTTTGCACAGCCACTATCCTGACATGTGGGTAAGCACATGCAGCCCCAGGGAAAGTTAAATTTAAATGTAGGTTTTTTTCCTCTGTTGTTATTTGGGTCCCTGGGGTGGAGTATTCGGAAGAGCAGGGTGTACCGATTCTCCACCCACTGTCAGAGTGGTTGTGCATGAGTCCAGCCCAGGTTTTCCATAGAGTTCTGGCTCACTGCCTAACAAGGTCATTAGCCTCACCTGTAGGGGCTGTGAGCAGCTATATAACTGCAGTTAAAGCAGGGTGAAGTGAGGGAAGTGTTTTGTGGAGAAAGAAGGTGTTTTGTGGAGAAAGAAGGTGTTTTGTGGAGAAAGAAGGTGTTTTGCTATTTATTGTATCCTGTTACTTCATAACAACAGAAAATAAACAGGCCAGAGGCCTTTTTAAAAATGGACTATGTCTTCACCTGGTTTTCTTACCCTAGAGGGCTGTGCGGTTGCCAAAAGATCCAGGACAAATACACACAGGAAAGTAAGTTTGTCACAAAACCTATGAACAGATTGCTGCTGATATAAAGCAGGAACCTCAAAAATATTGGGGTTTCAAAGATGTTCGAAGACTGTAAAGAAGTAGAATCTTTAGAACATAATGAAACCCTCCTGAAAAGATGGATTTCTAAATCAGATATATTGCAGTGCAGAATAACGTGTGTTAAATGCTGATGAGTCTGAATACAAAAGAGTTAATTTTGAAAGCAGGAAGGATTTAGTGAATTTGAGAGAAAGATCATTCTTTTGCAGTTGTCTATGCTGGTTAGAGGAGCCAGTTGTTAGAGAAATTACATCAGGGTGGGTGGGAATGAAGGTTAAGAGGTGATAACAAAACATGGGGAAAATGATAATTTAGGACATTTTTGATGGAAAAGGAATGAAAAAAAATGAAGTCCAATCAATCTGTGAGGTGTTGACATAAACCAGAGGGGACTGGGAGTGGACATAAAAAAATACATTATGGATTTTATAAATGCAGCAGAACTATATTTAAGGAAAGGCAATAGAGTTACACAAAGAAATAGAATGCATCTGATTCTTCTGAAATAAACATTTGGAGAAGTAAAGATTTTGTTTTTCAAAAATATTTTCACCACTTAATAATATTAGAAATAAGATGAAACAGGCCTCTGTGTATTCACAAACAGCTGCCGGAACTAGTCTACCTGTAGACCAAATAATATATAAAAACATTTACTGGAGTAGACGGGTGTCCGTAATAATGGTTAACATTGTGTGTTGACATTTGTTTTTCCATTTTTCTCCATCCATTTTCTTGTGAATGGGATGCAACCATAATGTATAAATAAAATAATAAACCTCAATGTTTAGTATTAACAAGGGGTATTTATGCTATCTCACACCTGAAATTCAATGTAATTGGCAATATTGTGCATGCAACTACCATGGTATACCTTCAGCAGTATGTTCCATAAAAAGAGACACTGAAGGAGGTGCTACATTACGCAAAGCTTTTTTTTTTTTTTTTTTATTGGTTTACTTCAAGCATTTACACTAAGCAATGTAAATTACCTTACCTTAAGGTTTAACATGCATGCAAGATATCCAAGTGCTTAGAACGGACATTTAAAGAAGCACTATAGTGTTAGGAATACAGAATTGTTTAACACTAAAGTGTTCCTCTGTTCCCCCCTCTGCATTTAAAGGGTTAAATAACCCTTTTTCACTCACCTAATTCACTCACCTGACTTTGTCTCCTCCTCCTCTGATGTCAGTGCCGATGGGGGACATTGTGCGCATGCATGGTAAGCGCCGCACACACGTTAGACCTTCACTATAAGAAAACATTGAATCTATGCCTTCCTATAAGGGTTTTGAGGACTCTAGACATCCTTATGCAAAGCGTGAGAATGTCCAGCATCATTTCACGTTGGTAAACAGCCACTAGTGGCAGGGCTAGAGGGGACAAGGAAGCAGTATGAGTGCCTATAGTGTCCCTTTAAGCAGCCAGCTATTTATTTTTACCAGGAATTGTATTGAAATAAATTCTTCAGCAATTCTTAAACTAATCAAACCCTTGCTAATCCATGTGATATGATCACAATCCAGCCTATCTAGTACATTTTAGCCTGTTAGTTGTCCTGAATGAATTTTACTACAGTAAACTCAGCTTATGCAGAGTTGTTTAATTAAGATGATAGCAATGTTATTCAAATTGAGGCTTCCGTTCAATTACCTACAATTATTTTGACCAAACCTTCCGATGTAAACTTAATGTGGCATTTTGATTGAACCCTAAGAGCATAATTAGCAAATAAATAATTAATTACATGCAATGGAAGAAAGCTATAGAAAATAAATAATAAAGTAGCATTTTTTTTGTTTGTGTTATTGAAAGGGATTATGTAATGTTAGAAATACAAAATTATACTCCTTACACTATAGTGCACCCCCTCCCCATTATTTACTACTCACTAGATTCTAGCGCCGATCTCTCTCGGTGCTGGGTTGGCGCTCTTCTTCCTCCAATGCCATCCAATGGGAGGGAGACCTAAAGCGCATTTCTTGCCCATTAGTACCTCACCATAGGAAAGTATTAAATCAGTACTTTACTACAGAGTTTTCACTGACGCTGGATGTTTTCATGCAGAGTGTGAGGACATTCAGCAACATTTCGGGGGCCAAGAGTCAAGTAATCCCCCGGAAGTGCCCCTAGTGGCTGTTGGGTAGAGGCCAGTCTTAGTACTGCAATGTTAACATTGTAGTTTCTCAAAAACCGCAATGTTTTACATTGCAGGACTAAGTGGGTCAGGGACAGGGCACCCAGACCACTTCAATGAAATGAAGTAGTCTGAGTAACTATAGTGTCCCAAAACCCCTTAAGGACAAGGGAGGGAGGGACGGACGGACGAGAGAGAGAGAGACCCCATATATACACTCGAGGGATGGATAAGTGGGAATGAAAAGGTAGAGAGGGATGAGTGGGAGCGATAGGAGAATGGGGTGAGGAGTAAAAATGTCTAAGTGGGAGTGTTAGAGAAGTGACAGGACAGAATTGGCAGTAATGATGGAAAAAGGGATGGGTGGCATTGATGGGTATCATGGGATTATGTGGTGAGAGGGCAGGATAACATAGAAACATACAATGTGATGGCAGATAACTATTTGGCCCATCTAGTCTGCCCAATATTTCAAAATACTTTTAATTAGTCCCTGGCTTTATCTTAAGTCTAGGATAGCCTTATGCCTATCCCACACATGCCTAAACTCCCTCACTGTGTTAACCTCTACCACTTCAGCTGGAAGGCTATTCCATGCATCCACTACCCTCTCAGTAAAGTAATACTTCCTGAAATTATTTTTAAACCTTTGGGTGCAAGAGACATAAAGAAGAGGAGCGGTGGGTATGGGTTTGGATTTTGGAGTTATATGAAGATGGGGTGAGCGAGATGGGGAGAGTGGGATGCCCTATGAAAGTGATGGCGAACCTTTTTGATCCCGATTGCCCAAACCGCAATACATGCCAACTTTTTTTTTTCTCAAAGTGCCAACACGGCAATTAAACCTGAATACTGAGGTTTAAGTTTTACAAAACAATTCGTACAGTTGTCCGAACTAATTAACATCTTTTTTTTTTTTAGCTACAAAAACAAGAGTTTTGCTGTAAGATAGTGGCTCAGAGACAGTAGTCTAACACTCGCGGGCAGGGCCGGCCTTAGGGGTGTGTGAGCTGTGCGGCCGCACAGGGCGCCATGGAGCAGGGGGCGGCCTGTGGCCACACAGCTCACACATGGCCGGCCGGGGATTCAAAAAAAAAAAATGGGGCGGAGCTTACCGTGTGGCGGGGCGGAGCTAAAATGCTGTGGAACTGCTGCAGGGGAAGCAGGAAGGAGTCCCTGCTTCCCCCAACAACCAGAATCCAGGAGCTGCACTGCCTCCACAATGAACAGAGGTAACTATGTGTGATTGTCTGACTGTGTGTGTGTGTGTCTATGTGACTGTCTGCCTGTGTGTGTGTGTGTGTGTGTGTCTGACTGTCTGACTGTGTCTGTGTGTGTGTGTGTGTGTGTGTCTGTCTGTGTGTGTGTGTGACTGTCTGTCTGTGCGACTGTCTGTGTGTGCGACTGTCTGCCTGTGTGTGCCTGCCTGTGTGTGTGACTGCCTATGTGTGACTGTCTGGGCAGACTAGATGGGCCGAATGGTTCTTATCTGCCATCATATTCTATGTCTGTGTGTGTGTTT